AGTATGAAATTTCGGCTGCGTGAAACACACAAACTTCACGCATGCGTGGAGTGTATGGAGTGTACGGGAGTGATTCACGCAATGGTGCGAATGGTCACGGCCATAAAAAAAACTTCAATTCTAGAGAAGTTAGATTTCTCCGACTTTTGAATTTCACCGACGTCTCCCCTTAAATCTCAAAATGTTTGTGCTTTACAGAACTCGAAGATATTTTCATCTATCTCTATAGTTCCGCGTTACATCATGAATACATTACACATCGAAACATTGAAAGTGCATTGTTAAAAATCCTGAAAACAATAAATACTTGAGTTTGGTGGTCCAAACGAGAATTGTTTGAGAACTTGCCCGTTTTTCCCTCAGTGAATTGTTCAAAATCATCCCAAGAACTGACAAAAGGGATTTTTAAATATCCCCTTTTACTCTGAAAATTAATTCTAATGGAACAGAAGGGCAATGCAAAATTGAGTAACTTCTCTATCTGGAAAGCTAGAAAATTTTCCAAATGAAATATTAAATGCTTCGTTTCAACGGACGAATTATCAACCCCATTATTACCTCCAGTCCATGAAACCCTCATGGAAAATTGTAATTAACAACTCATTACATAAATGTCCCCTGCATAAAATATGCAGTGACCTCCCGGAGCATTCCCAAGTAGCAATCTTCTCAGATATAACAAAGTTCTTTTGACAGTTTCTCCTAAAATCACTCGTGTCTGAGGTAATTTCCAAAAACGACAGAAATTCCATCTTCATGTTAATTGGCTCTCAAGCTCCGGTTCTTTTCTTTTTGTTGATCATAAAAATAATTTCCGAGACTGCAATAAATGGTATCATCAACTACGCCACTTTTTCTTCTGAAGGACTGATTCGAATCGAATGAAATGCTCAAGAGAATCCCAAGTGTCATTAAAACTCTTGAAATAGAACATCAAATCAAACTTTTTAATGAACTAATGAGTGGATTGTCAGCCCCTTAATGCTATTTAAATGACTCACATCCTCATAAAAAATTTGAAATTTAAGGCTCATCACATGAATAATTTCCGTTGCATCGAATATGAAAGCAATAATGAGGCACTTAAGGGGAAAGTGGGGCAAAATGAAACAGTCGAAAAACCACTGTTTGACGCAATTCAGGTAAAAACATTTTTTAAGCCCCGGGTGTACTATCTTTCGAATGTTGTCTGGATTTTTTTTATCTTTCGTAATCCAAAATTGTCAATTGAGTGGTACATCATGTAGAAATTCCCAAAAATTATGATAGAATGATTAAAAAAATGGAAAAAATTCTGAACTTTTTCAAAGAACGTTTTTAATTGAGATTCAGGATGAGTTGAAAAAAGTGGAAATTACAAATATCTGATTCGCTGGGGCAAATTATCTATTAGCTGTCATTTTCCATTGTGGATGACAAAACACTAACTCCTCATGGGAAGTGACAGCTAGGTATCTCAATTTTCAAAACAGTGATATGTAGTCATCTGCCATTTTTATGTGATAAAAGTGTGATTAAAAAATCCTCCAAAATATTACAACTTTTTTCAAAGAGCCTTTTCCGCAATAACTGTCTCTGTGCAGTGTGGAAAAAGTAAATCAGATACATTTTTCAATTTCTTGTTATTCAACTTATTCTGAATATAAATTAAAAACGCTCTTTGAAAAAATTAAGAATTTTTTCTACTTTTTTTTGCATTAGGCAGGACTTAATTGACAATTTCAGATGACGAAAGATGAAAAAAAACATCGAGATAACATTCGAATGATTGTACACCCGAGCCTTAAAATGAAAATNCAGAGATAACGTTCGAAAGATAGTACACCCGGGCCTTAAATATTTTTTTTATCAACTTTCTTTAATTCTTGGGAGTAATGAGGAAAATAATAATTTTCCATTCAGTAGAGTGAAAAATTATTGAGAAGAAAATGAAACAGTAAAATCTAAGGCAGTGTCTAAGTGGATATACGGGACTTTTTCCCGCGGATTCAAGGTAATTTCTACTGTGGATATATGGGAGATCGTGGACCCTCAACTTTTACTTCTCAAATTAAATCCAGACAATAAACTAAACACATCGAATCAATTGATAAGTGATATGCAGATAGCAGACTAGTAAATAATTTTCACAAAATATTAATTCGTTGAATACGAATATCAGTTTAGATTAACGCAAATAAAAAATAAAATAAATGGGGTAATGGGGTCCGAGTGCAGGAGTGGGTGCCGAAATATAGTGCAAATGATTTTAAGGGTGATTTCCCAACCGGAGGAGACTCCTAGACCCCACTGGACAATGTTGTCACAACTCTGCTTTTCAACTCAACTGTCAGAGTTAAAAACCAGAGTTCATAGCAGCGATGTCAGACAATATGTGAGTGAGAATCTACCGTGAATCCACGGTAAAATTTACACTGCCAAAATCGAAAATTCAGAGCAAGGCCCAGGGGGAGACCCAGACGAGGAAAAAGGAAAATGTGATGCTGAATTTCAATCGAATTAAAAAAAAAGTGTAATCGGCCTAATCTAATCAATTGAATTATAATCCATTGAATTATAAGACTACTAGAAAATTATTATTCTCATCCGTACTCCGATTAATAAAAAAAGTTGAGAAACAAGAAAATTAATCGAATAAATTGAGTTAATAAAAAAAGTTGAGAAACAAGAGCTGATCATACCATTTTTTTGTCCCACTCTCCCCTACATAAAAATTCCATAAAAAATTGCATTTTCTTCTGTTTCTGAAACATAATGGATTGACACAATACCCAAAACCCAAGCCTTAAATCATTTCTCCCAGTTTAAAAAACCCAAGTGTCAATGACTCCAAAATGTACCTGATAAGAATGAATTATTCCCACAAAAAATTAAAAATGAATATCCAAATATCTCCCGAAATGATCAACCTCTAATCCATGATAAAAAATCCCCTTTCCCATCAAATCATCGCCCCATCATTCTCCACTTCATCCCCTGCTTTTCAACTCAACTGTCAGAGTTAAAAACCAGAGTTCATAGCAGCGATGTCAGACAATATGTGAGTGAGAATCTACCGTGAATCCACGGTAAAATTTACACTGCCAAAATCGAAAATTCAGAGCAAGGCCCAGGGGGAGACCCAGACGAGGAAAAAGGAAAATGTGATGCTGAATTTCAATCGAATTAAAAAAAAAGTGTAATCGGCCTAATCTAATCAATTGAATTATAATCCATTGAATTATAAGACTACTAGAAAATTATTATTCTCATCCGTACTCCGATTAATAAAAAAAGTTGAGAAACAAGAAAATTAATCGAATAAATTGAGTTAATAAAAAAAGTTGAGAAACAAGAGCTGATCATACCATTTTTTTGTCCCACTCTCCCCTACATAAAAATTCCATAAAAAATTGCATTTTCTTCTGTTTCTGAAACATAATGGATTGACACAATACCCAAAACCCAAGCCTTAAATCATTTCTCCCAGTTTAAAAAACCCAAGTGTCAATGACTCCAAAATGTACCTGATAAGAATGAATTATTCCCACAAAAAATTAAAAATGAATATCCAAATATCTCCCGAAATGATCAACCTCTAATCCATGATAAAAAATCCCCTTTCCCATCAAATCATCGCCCCATCATTCTCCACTTCATCCCCTGCTTTTCAACTCAACTGTCAGAGTTAAAAACCAGAGTTCATAGCAGCGATGTCAGACAATATGTGAGTGAGAATCTACCGTGAATCCACGGTAAAATTTACACTGCCAAAATCGAAAATTCAGAGCAAGGCCCAGGGGGAGACCCAGACGAGGAAAAAGGAAAATGTGATGCTGAATTTCAATCGAATTAAAAAAAAAGTGTAATCGGCCTAATCTAATCAATTGAATTATAATCCATTGAATTATAAGACTACTAGAAAATTATTATTCTCATCCGTACTCCGATGAATAAAAAAAGTTGAGAAACAAGAAAATTAATAGAATAAATTGAGTTAATAAAAAAAGTTGAGAAACAAGAGCTGATAAAACAATTTTTTTGCCCCACTCTCCCCTACATAAAAATTCCATAAAAAATTGCATTTTCTTCTGTTTCTGAAACATAATGGATTGACATAATACCCAAAACCCAAGCCTGAAATCATTTCTCACAGTTTAAAAAACCCAAGTGTCAATGACTCCAAAATGTACCTGATAAGAATGAATTATTCCCACAAAAAATTAAAAATGAATATCCAAATATCTCCCGAAATCAATCAACCATCTAACCCATGATAAAAAATCCCCTTTCCCATCAAATCATCGCCCCATCATTCTCCACCTCTTCCCCAACGAGCCAAATCCTCCGCAAACATCAAAATAACGACTGCCCACATGAATAAACAATACCCCTTACATAACTCTCATCTTCCCCCATTCCGAATCGACAAATGTCAGCACCACGAGGTCCCCAACCCCTCCCCCCTCAACAACATCATCATCATCATCACGAACCCATGCGCATATTCATTACATAACTTCCCAAACTCCCAAATAATTTCCCCATTTATTTAAACTCAAAAAATCCGATGAAGACGAATGCAACTCACGTAATTATTCAAATTCTGCTGGACAACAGTGCACGGCAGATCGGCGAGATCCTGAATGAGGGTGATCATCCTCTCGTGCTCCTCAAAATTCCCACTCGACATCATTTTTTATGTTGTTGACCTCGATGATTCCCCTCCCCCCCGGGTCGTGTCGTAACTGAAATTTTTTTTGTGGGAAAAAAAACTCGCGAGAGATTAATTATCTGTCATTGGCGCACGTGAATTTCACTCTCTCACTCATTTTTCGGGGATCCGATTTATGATTGAACGTTTCACGTGATTTTGGGGATTATTATTTGGGATGGGAGCACTGCAGTGGGTTAAAGGCGTTTCTGCACCTCCGAGTTTATCCACGATCGGAGGATTACTGACCCGATGGGAGAAATGAAAGAAAAATAAACAACACAGTCACGATGCCTCGGACTACTCTCGTCTCGGTGATGTATCGGCGGTTGCGGCGGGGTGGGGGGCAGCCCTCGACCAATGGGAGGGCCCGCAGCGGCGTGACGTCAGGCGTGCCAGCGACGTCAGTGGGCGATGATAACCTCACTCTCGTGAATGAATTTCGGGGAATTTTCAGGTGAAAAATGGAGTAAATAGAAACACGTCTGAACGTGTTCAGACGTTCGGGTCGATTGTTGTGAGTTATTGTTTCGGGGAATTATGAGGAGCGAGTGACAGCGGAAAGTTTCGAGAGTGCGTGAGGACGGAAAGGTGGCTGGAGTTGTCGTTGGGTAATTATTTTTAAATTAAGAATTTTTTGGTTAATTATTTGTCGAACTGTGCGGCGCTCGTTTTGGGGTTAAGGGAGGTGGGGGTGAATTGGAGCGTTTTTAATCTTTGAGGGGATGTAGGGTGAACTGGTCAATTTCTGGATGTTTCAACTTGCATTGAACATTCCATTAATGAAATGAAAATTGTACTGAGTATTTCACCTTTCGGTGATATTACTCGCGTATAATCATGTGATCAATTGTTCTTCCGTTGATCGACTTTTTATTTAGTAAATAAAAAAAAGTATTGCCCAATCGTCCGGAAATTAGGGGTTTCGGCTGTATTCGATTATTTCGTAATTTGAGGCTCTGGTGGGTTATCTTTCGAACGTTATCTCGACTGTTTTTCCATCTTCATGATGTAAAATATACATATCACAATTTCCATTGGATTTTACATCACACGGGAGTCCCTAGAAATTATGATATTGCACAATCAAAAAAAGTAGCAAAAAATACTGAACATTTTCAAAGAGCATTTTTGATAAAGATTAAGAAATAAGTCCGATAGACAGGAAATAGTGAATGGATAATTTATGATGGTAACTATAACGATCTGATAGTCATTGACTACTGTGACAAATGACGACCTAACAGCCATTAGATACATCAAATTATTAATTTGCAATTTCATCCCTGTTGGGTTTATTACACTATTTATTACAATTGACTAATCTAGTAATTGAAAGAAGTAGAAAAAAATGAACATTTTCAAAGCCCGTTGTTAATAAAAGTTGAGAAATAAGTTCGATAAAGAGGACATAGTGAATGAATAATTTGTCATGATAACTACCGATCTGACAGCCATTAGATACATCAAATTATTAATTTTCAATTTCCACCCTATTGGGTTTATTTCCCAATAATATTCAAAAACGCTCTTTGAAAATGTTCAGCTTCTTTTCAACATTTTTTTGATTGTACAATCACCATTTTTGGAGACTCCAGGGCTATGTAAAACGGAATAGCAATTGGAGATCATTTCAGATTATCAAATTAAAAAAACAACCAAAATCGCGTTCGAAAGATAATCCATGCGGACCTTAATTATTCTTTTCTTTATTTTTATTATTGATTTTTTTCTTATATATATCATCGAAGGCATTTCACCAAAACAACGTGGTGAATCCCTGTATCATCACTATTTACAAATAATCCCACAAATTCTGTAGCGAAGTGGTAAATTAGGATAGGCGAGGGTGGAGTAAAATTGACACTTTTCACTTTTTTATAAATATTCATAACTCATAAATATATTTATCAATTGAGCTCAGTCTAGGCTCATCGCAAGAGAGAAGAATTGCCCTTTTTATTGAAAAAAAAATTATACAATTTCATTAACAATTCAATAAGTCATTAGCATTTGAAAAAAAGTAAAAAGTGTCCATTTTACCCCATCGTCCCCTAAGTGCAAAAATGGAACTTTTTCAGGAGAGTTCAAAAATTTGACTACGTTTGAGAGAACACTCGATTCAAGCAATGGAAAATTTTCCACAAGAATTGCACTCCTAGTTTACCCCTTCACTACAGAATTATGAAGTATTTAGTCGATATTCACGACCGAATGGGTGAATTAAAGCCCTCTACGACGAATTCCTAAAACTGTCCAACTGTAAAATAAAAATAAAACCCTTCTCCCGATTTATTTGGCCAGAGGGGACGTTACGATCGGCCCTGAATCCACTAGATTTATCAAAAAAACGTCGGAAGAATTTTTCTCTCAGTCCACACAGGGAGAAATAATCAGTAAAAATTACGGAACGTGACGGTGTCGTAACTTTTCACTGGAGATTCAGATAAAAATTACGGAATGCTCCGGAAAAATTCCGTAATTTCAGCTAAAAATTACGTGACAGTTCCGTAAAATTTGATTCAACCACATTGCGCTCCGGAATTACGGAAGAGATTCGTAATTTTTATTGAATATCTCTCTGTGCACGAAATGGTAAAATGTCTAAAAAACATTCGTCAAAACGACTTCGTTTCGCCTACGACACGCTATCATGACGTTTTTTCTTACCAATCGTTTTTGAAGGGGGTTTTTCAGCGATGGACTCACGAATTTTTTTCCAAACAAAAGCCCGCGATCAATCCCAATAATCCGCTTCATCCATCAATCCCACAACACCAGAAAAATACAGTAACGAATGACCCTCGGCTCTCAATCTCCTGCCCCCCACCATCAATCCCCATCCCCAGTCTCAGTCTCCCTAATCTCATCTCGAAGATTACTCACTCATTGATTCAATCATTACAACCAACTATATCTTATCAAAAACTTGCTGTCGTCAGTATCAGCAATTGATGATAAATTGCAACAAAAACACTCGAGATTTTTAAGTACGCGATTCTATTCATTTCCTTGATCATCTTCAATGGTAGTAGCTTATCAAAATAATTCAGTAGCGAAGTTGTAAAACGGTTTAAGTCGATTTTGACTATTGGTCAGTTTTTAGTGACTGTCTCGGAATCTAAGGGAGATAGCTAAATTTTTGTCAAGACCTTTTTTGTAGCACTCAATTTGCTCTAGAAAAAAGGGTATTACGAAAATTCCATTATCTCCTTTAGATTCGGAGATATGCTTCAAAAACTCAACTAAGTGTCGACTTAAACCGTTTTATCACTTCGCTACTGAATTATGAACAATAATAATTTATCTGAAACGGCAATTTTGTAATATCTACCAGAAAAGGGGACGCGCCTCATTTCTGCATATTATTTTTTATCATTATGTATTCATTTATTCATTAAAAATGAGTTAATGTTTAAGTCGATTTTGACTATTGTCCAGTTTTTAGTGACTGTCTCGGAATCTAAGGGAGATAGCTAAATTTTTGTCAAGACCTTTTTTGCAGCACTCAATTTGCTCTAGAAAAAAGGGTATTACGAAAATTCCATTATCTCCTTTAGATTCGGAGATATGCTTCAAAAACTCAACTAAGTGTCGACTTAAACCGTTTTATCACTTCGCTACTGAATTATGAACAATAATAATTTATCTGAAACGGCAATTTTGTAATATCTACCAGAAAAGGGGACGCGCCTCATTTCTGCATATTATTTTTTATCATTATGTATTCATTTATTCATTAAAAATGAGTTAATGTTTAAGTCGATTTTGACTATTGTCCAGTTTTTAGTGACTGTCTCGGAATCTAAGGGAGATAGCTAAATTTTTGTCAAGACCTTTTTTGCAGCACTCAATTTGCTCTAGAAAAAAGGGTATTACGAAAATTCCATTATCTCCTTTAGATTCGGAGATATGCTTCAAAAACTCAACTAAGTGTCGACTTAAACCGTTTTATCACTTCGCTACTGAATTATGAACAATAATAATTTATCTGAAACGGCAATTTTGTAATATCTACCAGAAAAGGGGACGCGCCTCATTTCTGCATATTATTTTTTATCATTATGTATTCATTTATTCATTAAAAAGGAGTTGATGTCCGCTTTTATTATGTTCAGATTTGAGAAAAATTTTGAGAAAATGATAGTTAAAAATTTTTACGACGAAAAATTCACGTTGTTTATGAAATCAGGTGCAAGTGTTTTCCAAGTGTGAAAATGCAAGTTCTTCTGCGAAGAACTGTCCACCAATTTTCATGTCAATCCGCTATTAAAAAATGGGTGAAATATTTTCGGTTAGCAATCTATTTCACCAAGCCTATGCTCGACTTAGGAATTGGGAATAGATTAGTTTATGAATAAAAAATACTTTTTTAAATGCAGAATGTATAAAATCATAATACATTATATATATTGTATTTTTGTATTTATATTACATATATATTTATTTATATTATATATGATATAATATATATTATATAATATATCATATATATTATATAATAGATTTTTATATTTATTTTTATAAATAAGTATTTTTTATTCATAAGCTAAGATAAACATGAAATATTCTCAAATTTAGCATATGCTTGACGAAATAGATTGCTGATAAAAAATATTTTACCTTTTTTTCAATAGAGGACCACATCCTAAGAAGTGAAATTGACGTCCAAGAAATCGTTATTTTTCCCAAAAGTGAAGCCAACGAAAAGAAAAGCCCACGTAATGGAGAAGAACCTAAACGAGATGGAGATAGCTCCAGTGATAATCGAAGAACTGGAAGAGGATCAGGTGATGGATATGGATGAATTCGTGGAGGCGAGTGCTCTTGAGATCCACGAGGTCGAGAATATGGTAGACGTTCCAGCAGCTGCTGTTGAAATGACCCACGCAGAGATCGATCTGGAATTGTCTGAAGGTGAAGAAGAAGTGGACAGTGTTTTAACGCTTGAAGAAGAGGATAATCTCACTAAACAGTTCTTGAACGGGGAGTTGACGTTCTCCGAGTATTCATCGAGAATGGATCCAGGAATTGATTTAGATCCTGACGGAGCGGAACCTGGAACCTCCAGGTACGAGCAATCACTCTAAATCATTATTGGGAACTTTGAAAAATTATTGGGGAATAGTTTCTCATGTTTCCATCGCTTGTGCGTCAAGAGAAATTTCAAAATTGCACTTCACGCGTGAAAAAATTCAATAGAAAACCTACCAAATTCGCTAGAAAATTCTGTTGGTATTCTATTGAAAAATCCTATTTGCTTTTTGCGCTGGTTCTATTGGATATTCGATAAGAAAAAGTCAATAGATTCCGAATTTCTGTTTAAATTTTTCTCTTGAGATTTTTTCTATAAGAATGATTCAGCAACAATTTTCTAATAGAAAAAATTGAAGAGGAAAATTCAAACAGAAATCCGGAATCTATTGACTTTTTCTTATTAAATATCAAATGGAATCAGCACAAAAAACAAATAGAATTTTTCAATAGAATTCTAATAGAAACCGTATAGAAACCCCATAGAATTTCTATAGAATTCCAATAGAATTTTCTGACGCATTCGGTAGGTTTTCTATTGAATTTTTTCTTGCGTGTTTCAACGTATTGTGATGAAAAAAGGGCTCGACACGCGTGGGAAGTGGGTTTTTTTACTCTTGCGAGGGAAGCACAGGCCTTCGGCGAGCGCAACACACCTCCCACGTGTCAAAAAACACGTCTACGCACTCGTATCGATATGTACACAGAGAGAATATAAAATTATTTTTTACTGCGGGAACATGGTAATTCTTAATATGAGAAATAAAATGCAGGATCATACCCGGCACACTCGAAATAGCCGTTTTCCGATTAGAAGAATTCCGATCAATTTTTTAATGTTGATAATTATTGAGAATGTTCGCTGAAGGTCGTAACTAGCATCATCATCTTCGAGAACAATATAATTGTCATAATTGAAACCTAGTGAGGATTGCCGGGGAATCACTCGACTGGAGAAATACAGTTTTGAAAAAAAAGGCAAGACATTATTACGACTGGTATATTTTGAATGTTTATATTTAAACATTCCGTGTGCCTCCGAATTTTTTAATTTGTGGATTGATGATTATTTGATTGTTTTCCCTCGTAAGAGGTTCGGAAAGTTGAAGGATAGCATGTAGCGTCCTGCTTTCCATATAAAATTTATACCTTAAAAACATGTAAGGTTTGACCCTGTAGATGGCCGAGGGATAACGTAGAGTATTGAAAAAATAAATACTTCTCTTATGTAAATGGTTATTTAGAAAAAATAATTTTTTTCTCAAGCATAAACTAGAGTTTGAGTAATTTTTCAATAGTAATTTTTCGTTCAGTAGTAAAAATTTGTAAAAAAAATGAACCGCTTTTGACACTTTTGAAAATTATTTTTACGTTCGTGCATTTAATATTTGTCTGTTTTGTCCGTTAAAAATTACCATGTTAAATCGTAAAAAATTAATTTCACATCGCAAACGTTTGATTAAAATAAATCAAATTTTCAAGTTTTTCCGGTATGGTCTTCGATTATTATGTTCACATAGTAATTTTTAATTTTATATTCTCACCGTGTACTATTTCCTTTCTATTGATTCAGAGATGAAGACGCTGGAGCATACGGCAAAGTGACAAAGGAGCCGGAGCTTCGAGAAGAGCCGAAGAAGCGGAGAAACAGGAAGAAGAAGCGGAATCTTCCTCTGGCTCTTCAGGGTCTGATGGGCGAGGCTAATCTGAGATATGCAAGAGGGGATACGGAGTTGGCTATCAAAATGTGTATGGAGATCATAAGGTAAGCATTCCCAGGATTTTCATGCATTGACGAAACGGACTCCCTGCATTGACGAAACAGGCGTTGAAAAAGAATCCAGTCGACAATTCAGTAGCGAAGTGTTAAAACGGTTTTCGCCGACTCATCTCCCAGTCGAGTTTTTGAGGAATATTTCCGAATCCACGGGAGATAGCGAAATTTTCGTAATGACATTTGTTGTAGCACTTAGTCGGCTCTACAAGAAAGGTTATAACAGCAATTTAGCTATCTCCCTTAGATTCCGAGATATTAATTGAAAACTGGTCACTAGTCAAAATTGACTTGTACCGTTTTACCACTTCGCTACTGAATTGTTTGTTTGCTTGTATTTTATCTTTTTTCTTTGCAACTGAATTATATCCAATCGCTTCTCATCTTTCAGACAAGTCCCCAGCGCCCCAGAGCCCTTCCACACCCTAGCAATGATCTACGAGACCGACGACCCAGAGAAAGCACTTCAATTCTCCCTGATCGCTGCCCATCTCTCCCCGAAGGACGCCGAGCAGTGGACGCGCCTGGCCAATCTCTCCATGGACTCCGGCAACATAAAGCAAGCTGTCACATGTCTGACGAAAGCCATCCAGGCGAATCCCAAGGACGTCAAACTCTACGAGGCTCGAGCGCGCCTGCAGGAGCACTTTGGCGAGAAGAAGGCCCTCCTCAGGGGCTACCTCAAGATGATCCACCAGTTGGGCCCTGAGGACGGCGATGACCTCCTCATCTACGGCAAAATGCTGACCCAACGCTTCATCCAGGACTCGAGTTACGATCAGGCGCTTGACGCCATGGACCAGATCTTCACTAAATGCCCGAAACTAGTCACTCTGGAGGAGGTCAACATCATGACTGAGCTCCTAATAACCATGAAGAAGTTCGACAAGTGCCTGAATATCTTGACAGAGTACACAACTCTCTTCGTGAAGTACCAGGACGACTCTCGAAGGATAATCCAAGTCTGCGGAATTCCTGATGGCGTTGTGGTAGACCTGAAAGCCAAATTTCTAGTGACACTCATAGAACTCGGTCACATCGACAAGGCAGAGCCACTCTTCCCAAAGCTCCTGGAGGAGGAGGACCCAGAGGTCTCGGGGGATCTGTTCCTGGACATTGCCGAGGCCCTCATGGCCAAGAAGGATTACCAGAGGAGTTTGAAGTTCCTCGAGCCCTTGGTCAACTCGAAAAACTACAGTTTGGCTGCTGTCTGGCTGCGCTACGCCGAGTCTTGCGCTGGCTGCAGGTACCTCAAGAGGGCTCTCCTGGCTTACGAAATAGTGGCGAAACTCTCACCTCAACATATGGAGGCTAAACTTCAGCTGTCAACTCTGTACAAGATCTTTGGACTTCACGAGCGTGCCATTGACGTCCTACAGCAAGACCCCAGCAATGATGTACTTGATCCGGATGTGTTGTATCGAAGAACAGTTCTTCTTCTGAAGACCAATAAGCTCGATGAGTTCCTCAAGTCGGGGCTTCTGTTGCTCTCACGTCACTCTGTTACGCTCAGGAACAAGGGGGAGATGGTGTCGTTGACGAGACCCAGAGTCTACCAACGCCTTGAGAATTTACATCTTCAGAGGCTGTCTCATGGACAGGCATTGACTGATGAGAATGGCCCTACTTTTCTCAAGAATGATAGACCCAATGTGGAGGACGAGTTCAATCTGTTCTTGAGGATGTGCAGGGTCGCTTGCGAGATGAAAAAGTTTGGGATTCTTCAGAGGATCTGCTTCACTGCTCTGACGTCTAAGAGATTTGAGCCGAAAACTCCTCACATCATATTCTTGGCTCTGCTCAGTTGTATTTATAATAATGATTCGTATTATGGGTACAACTTGGCGAGGGATCTTGTCAGGGATCGCAAGAAGGAGACATTGTGGAATCTGCTGAATATTGTGATACAACGGGCTGACGACTCCAGGCATAATCGGTTTATTATGAGGCTACTGGGGAGGGAGGATGTCTTCAGTTATATTCATGTCCTTCATGCCAACAATTGTCTGGTTTCTGGGACGTATAAGTACGCTCTCAATGATTATATGTCGTTGTTCAAGGTGGGACCCAGTGCCTTGCTGGCTCTTCTCATTGGGGTGACGTTCTTGCAGATGAGCTCGCAGAAGTTCTCGGGGAAAAAGCACAGGCTGGCGACGCAGGCCATGGCTTTCTTCAAGAAGTACAGGGACATGAGGGGAAGGGACATGAGGCAGGAGTCGAATTATAATATTGCGAGGGCAATGCATCAGCTCGGGTTGATGACCAATGCTGTGCAGTTTTATAAGTTGGTGCTGGAGGAGGAGAGGTCGGAATTGGTGAGGGCGAGGGAGTGCCTGGATTTGAAGAGGGAGGCTGCCTTTAATCTGCATTTGATTTATATGCACTCGGGGAATACCGAACTTGCCAGGATCTATTTGGAGGAGTTTATTGTGGTGTAGGAGAGGAGAATGATCGTCACTGGGGTTTAGTCGAGGCGAGGGGGAGTTGGAGATCCAGGGGAATTTTGGGTTGAAGACACTTGTTGGTGATCATTTTTTTCATGCGGAATTTGAGAGGAGGTGATATTGAAAAGAAGTTTTCTGTGACATATTTTTCATTTGTTGGCTCGAGGTAGAGAGCGAGGGATAATTGTCCTGATAACGCCAAAATGAATAGTTCTAAGTTTCTCATTTTTTACTTGACGACAGTGTGAAATACTTTGTAAGAAAATGGGTTGAAAATAAAAAAATTTTGCAAGAATTTGAAAAAATACTTGATCATTTTTAATCGTAAAACCTGCAAAATTCAGTTCAGATAACTGGAAAAAATTGAAAAATCCCAGAATTTTAAGCAGCATAAAGACGAGAATTCCTTAATTTATTTGAATTTCCAATCTAGTATCAATATTCAGTGCCAAATTACATTGAATTTTTATCAGTGATTTTATTAGTAATTTTTATTAATTTAGTGTCACCGTCCTGAAAATTTCAGAATATATTTACCGGAATTTTTTGCTTTTCTACCAGTTATGCTGTGTTTCTCGAATAAATAATAATAATAATAATAATAATAAAACATAATAATTATAAAATTGAAAATCAATTATTCAATTATTTGAAATAATAATAATTCTTTTCAGTAAAATATAATAATAATTTTTTTACCCGTTACTACACATTTCCATCCACATTCTGTTAATTTTCTTTTCCAGAAATGACGTCAATCGCCTCACAAATCTCGTTCTCCACTCTCTGCACTGTTTTCGAGGAGATCTTCACGGCGAAAACTAACAAAAACCGCCAAACACTCCTCTCCGATTTCCTCGAAAAATGTCGAGCTCAATCCCAATCGTCGACCCCTCCCCCCAGCCTCTTCCCAATTCTCCGTCTCTTCCTGTTGAAACTTGACAGGGAACGAGGGCCCAACGGTCTCAAGGAGAGGTCTCTGGCAGTCCTCTACATCAGAGTCTTCTGCTTGGGGAAGACTTCTCCAGATGCTAAGAAGCTTCTGAACTACAAAGAGCCCCTCAGATCCAAAAACAACACCAACGACTTTGCAGAGCGAGTCTTCGTCGTCCTCAAGCCTCGTCTGAAAAAATCATCCTCCCTCTCTGTAGAGGATGTCAACAACTTCCTGGACACCATCTCCAATCAATTCTCCTCGAATCAAAAACAAGACGGTGAATTCATCAAAATAATGGAAGAGTGTTCAGCGCTGGAGGTGAAATGGCTGACGAGGATAATTCTGAAGGATCTGAAGCTGTCGATGGGATCGAGGAAGATTCTTGATGTGTTTCATCCTGACGCGGATCAGCTGTTTGCCCAGAAATCGAATCTGAAGGTGGTCTGCGAGACCCTGGGAAATCCGAGGGAACGGATTAACACGAGGGTCTCGAGTGTTAGTGTGTTCTCGCCGTTCAAGCCGATGTTGCTGGAGCGATTGCCGATTACTCACATCAGGAAGTTCTTTGTTGATGGGAGGAAAACTGAGTTTATTATCCAGACGAAGTTCGATGGAGAGAGGTCTCAGGTCCACGTGAGGGACGGGAGGTTCAAGTATTTCACGAGACACGGGCTCGAGATCACTAAGAATCCTTCCTATGGAGAGACGAGGGGCGCCAGGGGGTTCTTGACGAACAAGATCTCTTCGTTGTTGAATCCTCATTGCAGGTTTGTTAACCCCAGTCTGGTCACCAAACGCCATGCCACGGACGAAAAAATTTAATAGGAAAACCTATCGAATTCGTTAGGAAATTCTGTTGAATTTCTATTGAACTGTTCTATTAGTTGTTGGCGGATTCTATTGAAATGTTCAATAGAAAATATTCAGTAGAAAAAGTCAATAGAATTCAATTTTTCTATATAACTTATTCTATTGAGAGATTTTCTATAGAATTTCCTCACTTTTCTATAGAAGAATAGATGAAAAAAACTTGGAAAATTCGAGTCGAGCAAATTCTATAGAAGATATATGAAAAGAATAAGTTACATAGAAAAATCGAATTCTGTTGACTTTTTCTATTGAACATGTCCATAGAATCAGCCAAAAACTAATAGAAAGTTGAATAGAAATTCAATAGAATTTTCTAACGAATTCGATAGGTTTTTCTATTAAATTTTTTCGTGCGTCGCATGAAAAAGTGCAATAGAAAACCTAGCGAATTCGGTGGAAAATTCTGTTGGAATTCTATAGGAATTCTATGGGGGTTTCTATAGGATTTCTATTAGAATTCTATTGGATATTCGATGAGAAAAAGTCAATAGATTTCGAATTTCTGTTTGGAATGTTCTCTTGAGGTTTTTTCTATAAGAATGCTTGGACATCAATTTTCCAAGTTTTTTCCACTCGGATTCTGTAATGCAAAATCAAACAAAATTTTGCGTAAAAACTTGGAAAATTTGTGCCCAATAATTTTAACAAAAAAAATGTCAGGAGAAAAATTTCAACAGAAATTCGAAATCTATTGACTTTTTCTTTCCTATGGAATTCCAATAGAACTCTAGAGGAATTCTATGTCCAAATTGTCCAAACAATTTTTGTCTGGACAATTATCAACTTGTGATTTCTTGGTTGAAACATTACTTCTTTGAGAACATGTTTTTTTCGCTCGGTGTAATGACGATTATGATGACGATTGTTTATTTATTACAGATCAATCATCTTAGATGGAGAGATGATGGGATTTCACAAAGAAAAAAAAGAGTTTAGCACGAAAGGAGTGCCTTTCGACGTTAAGAAATTAACATTCAAAAGTAAACACCATCCGTGTCTAGTTGCTTACGATATCCTTCTCTACAATGATGAATTACTCATCAATAAGCCGTTGGAGTATCGATTGAAGGTGTTGGAAGGCGCTTTTGAGGAGTCACCGGGTGTTTTACTGAGAGCCAAGAATGAGAGAGTTTCTTCAATGGACGAGATCATCGCATCATTCAACAGGGCTATAGATACCCATGAAGAAGGTATGCAGAATCCCCGTTTGGCCTATGCATTGCGTGCTGGAAGCCCGCATTTCATTATTTAGGGGAGGGTGGGGCAAAATGGACACTGGACTTGTTTTAAATTGTTCATAACTCTGAAACAAATTCATCAATTGAGTTCAATTCAGGCTCGTCTCAACGGTAAAGAATTGTTCTTTGTATTGAAAACAAAATATTAAATTTCATCAACATTTCAACCCTTAATTAACGTTTTAAAAAAAGTTAAGTGTCCGTTTTACCCCTACCTCCCCTATTATCTTCTAAACTGTGTAGCACCCTGGATAATAATCCCCAGCAGTGATAGGCATATCAATCAATCATAATTACCGTTAAATTGTGAAGTTGTCAATTTTTAACATAAATCTTAAAATTTTAAATATTAAATTAACCATCTATTTGTACATTTGAATTTCAAAATACTCTATCAACCAATAATTTAGGTAGGAAGATTGACGATTATTTTGATAATCGAAAAATCAAGTACGTAAATTTAGAAGTAGCTTGTTAACTGCAAAAATTACATTTCAATATCATCAAATATTTTATTCACCATCAATCAGAAAATTTAGTTAATAAATTTTACACTTTTCGAATGTTATCTCGATTGTTTTCCCATTTTCATAATGTAAAATATATCACAATTTCCATTGAATTTTACATCACGCAAGAGTCCCTAAAAATTATGATTGTGCAATCAAAAAAAGTAGAAATAAAACTGAACATTTTCAAAGAGCGTTTTTAATAAAGATTAAGAAATAAGTCTGATAGAGAGCAAATAGTGAATGGCTAATTTATCATGGTAACTAACGATCTGACAGCCATTGACTACTGTGACAAGTGACGACCTAACAGGCATTAAATACATCAAATTATTAATTTGCAATTCCCTCCCTATTGGGTATATTTCCCAATATTATTTAAAAACGCTCTTTGAAAATGTTCAGCTTTTTTTCAACGTTTTTTTAAATGTACAATCATCATTTTTGGAGATTCCAGGGCTATGTAAAACTGAATAGCAATTGAAGATCATTTCAGATGATGAAAATAAAAAAAGCAACCAAGATCACGTTCGAATGATAATCCACCCGGGCCTTAAATTGACCATCAATTTGTACATTTAAATTTCGAAATATTCTATCAATGAATAATTTAGGTAGGAAGATTGACGATTATTTGAATAATCGAAAAATCAAGTACCTAAATTTAGAATTAGCTTGTTAACTAAAAATTACATTTCAATATCATCAAATATTTTATTCACCATGAATCGGAAAATTTAGTTAATAAATTTTACATTTTAAATTCGTTAAATGTAGTTAAATTTTCAAGAATACAGTGAGATAATCCCTTTTTAATATTGTCAAAATCTAATATTATTGCCCATCCCTGATCCCCAGGAATCGTTCTGAAGAAGATCGACAGTCTGTACCATATAGACACTCGCGACGGAAGCGGCTGCTACAAGATCAAATCCGATTACTCCTCCGAGCTAATCCAGGACGTGGACCTGGTGATAATCGGCGGTCACTACGGTGAAGGCCGTCACACCGGGCTTTTCAACAGCTTTCTCACAGCCTGCGTGCACCCCACCTCCCCCACCAAGACATTCTACTCGGTAGTCTCCGTGAGCAACGGCCTCACCGGCAACGCCATTCGCTCCTTCAACGCTAAATTCAGTCCCTTCTGGACGAAAAACAAGCCGGAAGTGATAGTCGCCCCCAAGAAAGGTCTCCCAGACGTCTGGATCCACCCCCAACACTCGATCGTCCTCCAGGTCTGTTGTGCTTTTTTTTTACACAAAGCAAATATCGTTATTTTTTTTGAAGGCCTGGGTGGATTATCTTTCGAACGTGATCTTGGTTGTTTTTTTAATTTTGATAATCTGAAATTATTACGAATTGCTATTCCGCTTTACATAGCTCTGGAGTCTCCAAAAATTATGATTGTACAATCAAAAAAACGTTGAGAAGAAAATTATCTACTCACTATTTCCTCTCTATCAGACTTATTTCTTAATGTTTATTAAAACCGCTCTTTGAAAATGTTCAGTTTTTTTTCTACTTTTTTTGATTGTACAATCAAAATTTTTAGGGACTCCTGCGTGATATAAAATCCAATGGAAATTGTGATATATTTTAGATTATGAAGATGGAAAAACAATCGAGATGACGTTCGAAAGATAATCCGCCCGGGCCTTAAGCACATTAAAAAGTTAAAACTTTTAAAGATTAATTGCAAAATGAATTGCATTTCAAACAGAACATAATGTTATTATGAAATTAAATTCTAAAATATTAGATAAACTAGAGAGTCACTACTGGGCCATAAGTTTAGTCAATTTAAAGAAGGTAATAACAAAATGTTTTTGAGTTCTAGTTTTCAAGACATGTAAATATGTAAATAATGTCTGTCTATTGAATGAAAAACCTTAAAAAAAATCGATCTCCAGGTGCGCGCCTCGGAGATGTCTGAGTCCAGTAATTATCCTGGAGGCTGGACCCTGCGCTTCCCCCGAGTGGAAAAAATCCGCGAGGATAAGCCTTTCGACGACTGCTGCACCCTCAGCGAATTGCAGGGGCTCAGAAGTCGGAAGGGAGTTGTTCAGAAGCTGACGAAGAGACATGCGACTGCTGAAGACATCTGGGAAGTCCCTGAGAAGAAGAGGAAGGAGAGACATACGACTCCAGCGATCAAAGTCGATGATTGCTACCTGGGGATCAATGATTCCGACGTTGTGAGGGTGAGCAGGGTCTTCATGGGGAAGGAGTTCTGCGTGATGAATGGGGAGAGGATGCAGGGGGAAGAGAGAGGGATGACGAAGGGTGAGATTGAGAGACTCCTGATGGAGCACTTCGGGAAAATCGTGCAGAACCCGGGGAAGGAGACGTTTTGCGTCGTCGCCGGGGACTCCCAGGGGATCAGGGTGAGGAATGTTGTTGAGGGCAGGCTTCATGACGTCGTCAGGGTCGCCTGGGTGACGAGAGCTACTAGGGAGGAGAATCTGGGGGGAATTGTTGAGTTTTTCCCCTGGGAGATGATTGGGATGACGAAGAAGACGTTGGAGAGACTGAAGGAGAGGTTTGATGATTATTATGATGACTATTTTGAGGAGGCCGATGAGGAGAGGGTCAGGAGGTCGGTTGAACGCGTCTCGAGCCTGAAGGATGATGATGAGGTTGCCTTGACGAGGAGGGGGGTTGGGAGGCTGGAGAGGGAGATGTTTGGGGGGACTTCCCCTTTTGGGATATTCAGGGGGTTGGTGGGGGTTTTTGTGGATGAGAGGGATGTGAGGACTTTTGAGTTTAGGTTTATGGGGGGGGAGGTCAGGGGGGAGGTGGATGAGGCAGTGACTGATGTTTTTGTGGGGGAGGGAGAGGTTGGGATTATTGAATTGTATGGGAGGATCAATGAGAGGGGGAGGGCTGATGTGAGGATTGTGAGGAGTCAATGGATTGAGGAGAGTTTTAGGGAGGGGAGGATTTTGGATAGGAAAGGGTACACTCTCACATGATGAATGGGGAGATGATGAAGGGGGAAAAGAGAGGGCTGACGAAGGGGGAGATTGAGAAACTCCTGATGGAGCACTCCGGGAAAATCGTGCAGAACCCGGGAGAGTTTTAGGGAGGGGAGGATTTTGGATAGGAGAGGGTACACTCTCACATGAGATAATTTTATTTTTCTAATTTTTTTTAGGTAGAATGGGACTAGTGCAACTATTGTTTTAATCACTTCGGAATTGCTTTTTCGATTTTTGTTGTTTTAGTTTTAGAAATAATTGGGTGGAATATTCCGCAGATTTTATTTTAATTATTGGCGTGTTATCTAGGATTTTTTCCTAGATAAGTTTTTTTAATAAATTGATTAGTTTTCTGAAATTAATTTCAGATCAGTCATCATTGATTGCTACCAAAAATCAATTGTCAATCATGAGAAATATCTTCAGATTTTTTTTTCTTGCAGATAAACGAGTGAATATAGTTTGTAAGCAAAATAAGATATATATTTTTTCAATACAAGTCTTGAATGATAGTTTGACGAAACTAAAATTACACCTGAAAATGTTTCCAAAGAATTGAATAAAGTGTTATTTACCAAGCCAAGTTTATTTTGAATCAATCATTTGAAACATTGAATTTTGAAATGGATATGAGACTTATGAAAGAGTGAGAATGTCGAGTAAAACTGACAAGTCCCGACAGTTTTCTCATTTACAACCGTCTGGACGAGGAATTCCGAAATAATTCTTCGGCGTCAAGGCCTGAAACTGCGTAAAACCGGCGACTCTGCAGCTGGATGTATTCTCGGGGGAGCTACAATGGCCTGCATTCAGAGATTCCACGGTAGATTGACATGAAAAGTGAGAGGGCGATAAAAACTTGGGTAATAGCTATTATTCCACATTTCTTCTGAAGAAATGAGATGAAAGCCGAGAAATTATTTCCATAAAAATTCAGCGGCTCTAGTTGCCTATAGAAAATATTGTAATAGAATAAGTTATAAAAGAATCAAAGTTATTAAAAAATCAGAATCCATCGACTTTTTCTATGAATAAAATATTTTCCATTGGACATTTTCAATCGAAAAGAATGCGCAGAAAGGCTGCTGAAGTTTTAATGATCAATTATCCCTCTAGAAGCAACTCAGAATGGATTCATCACCGAAAAAGGCAATTTCGTTAACACAAATTATGTTTAAGTGACGGTATCGTAATTTTTTCACAGGAGGTTCAGGTAAACATTACGGAACGCGCTGGAAAAATTCCGTGATTTTAGGTAAAAATTACGTGACAGTTCCGTAAAATTTCCTACAACCACATTTCGCTCCAGAATTACGGAAAAGATACGTAATTTTTATTGAATATTTCTCTCCGTGTGTCAAAAAAACTAATTCTTTCATGGCGACGTTTCAAGCACCCAAAGAGCTCTTCATCAGGGCACTTTAAAGTAGCTCTACCCTTCCGCCGGGCTACGCTGTACTTTTGGATATTTTCCGTTTTTAAATTTTTCAACTAAATTGCATGGAAAAAATTTGAAAAAATTCATACCCGGTCAGTATTATCTAAATTAAATTTCGCAAAATATTGATACTTTTTCATACATTTCCCTCTTATAAATTAATAATAAAACTTGTTTGCAAAACCGTGGATTATTTTTTATGTGTCAAAAAAATTCTTGATTTTTTCACATCTAATGAAAAAAAATCAGATTGTAATCTTTGATTACAATGGAAATGTTGATTTTCGCATAAGACACTGGGTCAAATCCTGATTTTTAAACATTTCTTCTTTGAAAAACCCAAACGATAATTAAATTGAAAAAAAAAATTGGAATTCCGAATCTAATCGAGTTTTCTGCAATTTTTTTGCAGGTTTCAATAATCTTTGAATTTACCGTAAGGGTAGAGCTACTTTAATCAGTCTAAAAATTCCAAATAGATCATCAGAAAATCAACATTACCACAGGCCAACATCACCATTCTCTCAACTTCCTCATCATTAAACCCCCAAAAAATAAATAGAAACCGACTCGATAACAACTCGAACAATTAATCTCAAAGAGTATCCTCGTTAACTCAACTAGACAGCGAGAACTCTCTCGTCTTCTCTGACCAGACGCAAAATAATGTGAATATGAGTTATGTCAAGTTTCAACCGAAGAAATTCTACTTATAGAAGCGTCACTCCACCACGAGACGTGGATTAATCGACTTTGAATTTTCTCGCAACGTTTCCAGAGTAGAAATCTTTAAAGCGTTAAAAATAATTGTCGACTCGTCACACGTGAGTTCACAATTTTTATATTACATTTTTCAGCTCTGGGCACAGTGAGTGATGGAGCTTCATGTTTTTTATTCTGAAGGACCTGATGCGTTTGTCGCAGGACACAACAAAATTTCCTGGTGAATCATTTGGTTTTTTTCGCCTCCACGGACTCAACGACGAAATTAAGTGCAAATTGTTGATTTTTTTTAGGTAGATCGATGTCTCGCAGCCATTCTTCGATGATTTTTCAACTGAAAAATCGTCTTTCGAGAACTTCAGGTAAAAGTGTAATTTTGTCGCTGATTTCTCGAGGATTTCTTCGGAATCCGTTGGAGATTGTAGGTCATCCTGATGGGTTCGATGATTCTCAGGATCTTCTCGGGTTTCGATGATCAATTTTTGACGCAAGAGACAAGAGTCGCAGACGTGATTTGAAGGTTCAATTGGGGGAGGCTCCAGAAACTTCTGAGAAATTTTGGCGGACTGGAGATTATTTTTCCTCCTGTTCTTGCGGTTTTGTTGTTTGATACAGTAATTTCGTTGTTGCTTTACGTATTCAAGACACCTCGCCGTTTTGTCTACGTCTTCCCGAACAGTTGCAGGAGGGGGAAGGGGAGATTTTCTCTTTCTGGGATTTTTTGGTTTTTTGTTTGTAGATTCTGAAAGAGTTTGAATAATTGTCATTTTATTTTAATTTAATATACGATATTTTTCACATCTTCCTGAAAATACGGTCTGATTTTAAGGATGTTTATCAAAAATCGCAACACAGCAAAAACGAATGTTTGAATTTCACAATGTTTGAATTTTGAAAAAACCTCTGAATAAAATGAAAACGTTTAAATTTCAGACGAATCGGTGCCCAAGCATCTTAATTCATGTTCGAAATTCAAATAAATTTTCTTTTTTTTCAGACGTTTTTTAGTGGTTGAAAAATGTCTACAAAAGGTGTGTAAAATTCAGGCATTAGTTTTTGCTGTGAAGTACTTAAAAAGAAATTGATTTTTTTAACTGAGAGATGAAGATATTCCCTTCACTTCGATATAAATTTCAATCCACCAACCCATGTTCATTATTTAGAAATGAAATCGACAAAATGCACCAAATGCATGCGCTTAAATGGGATAGAAACATTCAAATATTTCCTCTTTTTGCCCGGGAACCCCAGATTTTTCTCTGGCCACTGGATTCAGTATGATTTTACACATCATTTTCTATTTTTATTTCTATTTTCAGAGTCTTCTCGTAGGTGATTTATCAATTTGAACATAAATTTCATAAGAGCCCGTGTATAAGGAAAAATTAGTTTATTCATTTCTGCCGAGACTATTGGGATTAATTGTTTTAACGTTAGAAAAGTTAGTTTTATATGTTCAGTTGTCAGCCGAAAAAATTGCAGAATTTTCCTTGACTATGAAAAAAAACACATTTACCGACAATTTGCCGACACCGGCTAAACATCCCTAATGATGAATAATGTAATGAAAGAATATCAAAAGACATTTGAAGAGAAACAAGTGGGAAATTGCTTTCGTCACGAGATAGTCAATATATTTTTTCTGATAAATTAGCAAGTTGCTTCCGAATAAAATTTCTATGACCATGTATTTTAAATTGGACTCAATGATTCTTAGAATTCAACATTGCCTCAACGTTATGGTAGCCAACACACGGAGAGAAATTTTCTTTAAAAATTTTAGTCCCAGTACTGGAAAAAATTACAATCCACCGGCTGTGAAAAATTGTAGTACTGTTAAGGTAACATTTCTTGGTATTTCTGGTAAAATTTCTGGGGATTTCTGTGAAATTTTCACAGAAATATGGGGAAAAATTCACGTTTTCCTCAATAAAATTTTTAGTGTCGGCACTAGAATTTTTCTATACAGATTGCGTATAGAATTTCTATAGGATTTCCATATGTGATATTCGGATATTTCTATACGGATATTTTTTATACAAATTATTTCTATCCGATTTCTATAGATTGGATCCTATACGACCCACTGCCACATGTATAGAAACATTTCGTATGGAGTTGCGACATTTCTCTACGTTTTTCTCTGGATCGTTTAGACATCTTTCGTATGAAAACAAAAATTTATGTATAGAAATAATTCGTATAGAAATATCCGAATATCATATACGCAAATTCTATAGAATTTCTATACGCAATCCGCATAGAAAATTTCTATACGATTTTTTCACACGTGCACTAGAATTTTTCTAAAAAATTTCTCTCCGTGCATTGCTCATAAGTTACGTCATTTTCTCCTATAATCACTTGACTAATAACAGATTCGATTGCAAGGATCGATCAACTTCCACTGTCTCAATTAATGGCCCATCATGGAGACTTACTTCTTTCGCGTTTGGCAGCCGCAGGGCAATTCAAGCATCCGTCTAGGAACAGTGAAAAACAGAAAACATGGGAATATTGATTTATTGCAGATTTTTTAATAAATGAAAAATGAAAACTCACCCTCTTTTGCAACCGCACCGCAATGGCGAGTTTCTGGTGAATAATTTTCAGTTCTAGGTATTAAAAATTTGATTTTAGCGACTCACATCGAGCCATACGTCCACAAGAAGCCCTCCAAAAATTATGGTCAGCGTATCCTCAATCAGTGAAATAATTTTCAATTTTTTTTCTCCTATTCATTTTGGAAGATAACTCGTTGACGTATGGCTTTATTAACTCACTCTCGGTCACCCTTTCGTTTCCATTGTCTAGCTGCTGCTTTGCATAAACA